CTAGCGAATTGTAACACCCGCCGTCCAGTGGCTGACATGGTCGTGCCGACTATGGTTGCCAAAGTCGGGCCGACCAGGGGTGCCAAAGCTTTGCCGACCATGAGAAAGAAGGTCGGATTCACTTTGGCAACCTTGGTCGTGCCGACCTTGGCAGCCAAAAGTCGGCCGACCGATTGCAAAAAATTATTAATTATTTATTATTATTATTAATTATTATTATTCATTATTTATTTGTTTATTGTATACATCTTAACACTAAACGCAATCTTACACATAAATACAAATTAAAATTTCTAACGCTCGCAGGAATCGAACTCGCAACCTAACGCACCGAAGTCTAACACGCTAACCATTACGCTACGCTTACATGAAAGCCTAAGAACAAAAATGATTTTATAAGCTGCAACTTCAAACTGACCATCGGCCCGACTCTGGCCAAAGTCGGCCCGACCAAGTGAAATTAGGTTTTTTGCACTCTGGCTGCCATAGTTTTACCGACCGTCGGCCCGACTCAGGCCAGAGTCGGCCCGACCAACTAAAATTAGGTTCTCTAAACTCTGGCTGCCATAGTTTCACCGACCGTCGGCCCGACTCAGGCCAGAGTCGGCCCGACCAAGTGAAATTAGGTTTTTTGCACTCTGGCTGCCATAGTTTTACCGACCATCGGCCCGACTCAGGCCAAAGTCGGCCCGACCAACTAAAATTAGGTTCTCTAAACTCTGGCTGCCATAGTTTCACCGACCGTCGGCCCGACTCAGGCCAGAGTCGGCCCGACCAAGTGAAATTAGGTTTTTTGCACTCTGGCTGCCATAGTTTTACCGACCGTCGGCCCGACTCAGGCCAGAGTCGGCCCGACCAATTGAAATTAGGTTCTCTAAACTCTGGCTGCCATAGTTTTACCGACCATCGGCCCGACTCAGGCCAGAGTCGGCCCGACCAAGTGAAATTAGGTTTTTTGCACTCTGGCTGCCATAGTTTTACCGACCGTCGGCCCGACTCAGGCCAGAGTCGGCCCGACCAACTAAAATTAGGTTTTTTGCACTCTGGCTGCCATAGTTTTACCGACCGTCGGCCCGACTCAGGCCAGAGTCGGCCCGACCAAGTGAAATTAGGTTTTTTGCACTCTGGCTGCCATAGTTTTACCGACCGTCGGCCCGACTCAGGCCAGAGTCGGCCCGACCAAGTGAAATTAGGTTTTTTGCACTCTGGCTGCCATAGTTTTACCGACCGTCGGCCCGACTCAGGCCAAAGTCGGCCCGACCAACTAAAATTAGGTTTTTTGCACTCTGGCTGCCATAGTTTTACCGACCGTCGGCCCGACTCAGGCCAGAGTCGGCCCGACCAAGTGAAATTAGGTTTTTTGCACTCTGGCTGCCATAGTTTTACCGACCGTCGGCCCGACTCAGGCCAGAGTCGGCCCGACCAAGTGAAATTAGGTTTTTTGCACTCTGGCTGCCATAGTTTTACCGACCGTCGGCCCGACTCAGGCCAGAGTCGGCCCGACCAACTAAAATTAGGTTCTCTAAACTTTGGCACCCATAGTCGGCCCAAACTTGGGTGGAAACAGTAACCAAAGTCGGCCCGACTTTGGCTGCCGACCTATTGGCAGCCATAGATGGGCCGACCTGGGCCCGACCTGCCAACTCTGGCGGCCGACCAAAATTCGCACCTGGGTAATTAATAAATTAACTATTCTATATAGTCGATTTATCCATTATTTAAGTTGAATTAAATCGTAAATTGTTCAATTATTAATGATAAATATGCGAACTGTAAGACCTGTCAATGTATTGGTAACATGCGTGATACTTGTAGCAGACTACGATTCACTACGATCATATTCTGAACGGCGGAACGAAGGGACTGATTTGGATAAACGCGCGAAGTTTCAAAATGATGTGTAAACATAGTAAACATTGAAAAAATTGCTTTCTTTGATTTAAGAGATATTACTAATAAATCATATCTTTTACTTTTAAAAAACGTTTTTTTAAAACAATGTGATCAAAAATTAGAAATTTAGCAAAACTTTTTGGATTATTAAAATAAATGAATTTATCTAAATAAATATTATTCAAAGCTAAAAATCAGTATTTTACTTAGAAAAATAAATTTAAATAACAATTTTTTAAACAATTTTATGTAAAAAAAATAACCTGAACAATTTTATTAATTTTGATTGAAAATCAATTATTATTATATTTAGTAGAATTTAAAAAATAAAAAAGCAGAAAACAAATAGAATTGATGCAACAATCAATTATACTAAGAAAGATAAAATAGACAATATTTTCCCGTTTTTCTAAAATAATTAGAAAATTTACTTTTCAGACCAATTAAAATGAGCTTCTAACTCCTCCTACTTTAAGAAAGCAGTTTTTTTATTCGTTGGTTCAACAGTACAAAAAGGGAGAAAAAAAAATAAGCTCCTCCTATTTTTAAAGTGCAATTTTTTATTTGTTGGTTGAGTTAAAGAAAATGGAGAAAGTAATTAATATTTGAAAAATAACACATATATTACCAACCCCCAAAGAAAAAATAGATGATTTAGACCAATAAAAATAATAAACAAACTCCTCCCAGTTTCAAAATCAATTTTTCTATTTGTTGGTTGAGTTAAACAAAATGGAGAAAAAATTAATATTTAAAAAATAAATCATATAATTCCAACCCCCAAAAGGAAAAATGTAGGATTTAGACCAATTCAAATAAAATTTAAACTCCTCCTTCTTAAAGAAAAATATTTTTTATTTGTGGCTTCAATAGAACAAAATGGACAAATTATTAATATTTAAAAAATATAAAATTTAGTCCCAACCCCCAAAAGATAAAATGGATGTTTAAGACCAATTAAATTAAAATTTAAACTCCTCCCTTTTAATAAAAACTATTTTTCATTCGTAGGTTCAAAAGAACGAAATGGAGAAAATATTAAACTTTAAAAAATATAAGTCTTAACCCCTCACGAAAAAAACTGCTATTAGCCAATAAAAAAATCAAACTCCTCCTAAATTTTTATTTCGTTCTTTTGAACCCACGAATGAAAAATAGTTTTTATTAAAAGGGAGGAGTTTAAATTTTAATTTAATTGGTCTTAAACATCCATTTTATCTTTTAGGGGTTGGGACTAAATTTTATATTTTTTAAAGTTTAATATTTTCTCCATTTTGTTTTATTGAACCAACAAATAGAAAAAAGGTTTTTTTAAGAAGGAGGAGTTTAAATTTTATTTTAATTGGTCTAGAACATCCATTTTTTCTTTTGGGGGTTGGAATAGTATGTTTTAAATTTAAATATTTAATTTTTTCTCCATTTTGTTTAGCTCAACCAACAAATAGAAAAAAAGCTTTGATTAAGAAGGAGGAGTTTAAATTTTATTTTACTTGGTCTAGAACATCCATTTTTTCTTTTGGGGGTTGGAATTATATGTTTTATTTCTTAAATAACAAATTTTTCTCCATTTTGTTTAACTGAACCAATGAATAAAAATGTAGGAGGAGTTTGATTTTTTTATTGGCTAATAGCAGTTTTTTTCGTGAGGGGTTGAGACTTATATTTTTTAAAGTTTGATATTTTCTCTATTTTGTTCTATTGAATACATAAATATAAAATAGCTTTTATTAAGAGGGAGGAGTTTAAATTTTAATTTAATTGGTCTTAAATATCAATTTTATTTTTTGGGGGTTGGGACTAAATTTTATCTTTTTTAAATATTATTATTTTCTCCATTTTGTTCTATTGAAGCCACAAATAAGAAATATGTTTCTTTAAGAAGGAGGAGTTTCAATTTTATTTTAATTGGTCTAGAACATCCATTTTTTCTTTTAGGGGTTGGAATTATAAATTTAAATATAATTTTTTTCTCTATTTTGTTTAACTCAACCAACAGATAGAAAAAGTGATTTTAAAAATGGGAGGAGTTTGTTTATTATTTTTATTGGTCTAAATCATTCATTTTTTCTTTTCTTTCTATAACACATATAGTAATATGTGTTATTTTTCAAACATTAATCACTTTTTCCATTTTCTTTAACTAAACCAACAAATAAAAAATTGCACTTTGAAAATAGGAGGTGTTTATTTTTATTGGCCAGAAGTCTTTGTTTTCTTAAGAAGTTAAGACTAAATGTAACTTTTTAAAAATTAAATATTTACTCCCTTTTTGTGCTATTGAATAAAATATAAAAAAAATTGCTTTCTTAAAGTAGGAGGAGTTATTTTTTGTATTCTACTAAATACAATAATAATTGATTTTCAATCAAAATTAATAAAATTGTTCAGGTTATTTTTTTTTACATAAAATTGTTTAAAAAATTGTTATTTAAATTTATTTTTCTAAGTAAAATACTGATTTTTAGCTTTGAATAATATTTATTTAAATAAATATATTTATTTTAATAATCGAAAAAGTTTTGCTAAATTTCTAATTTTTGATTACATTGTTGTAAAAAAAGTTTTCTGAAGGTAAAAGATATGTTTTATTAGTAATATCTCTTAAATCAAAGAAAGAAATTTTTTTCAATGTTTACTATATTTACACATCATTTTGAAACTTCGCGCGTTTATCCAAATCAGTTCCTTTCGTTCCGCCGTTCAGAATATGATCGTAGTGAATCGTAGTCTGCTACAAGTATCACGCATGTTACCAATACATTGACAGGTCTCACAGTTCGCATATTTATCATTAATAATTGAACAATTTACGATTTAATTCAACTTAAATAATGGATAAATCGACTATATAGAATAGTTAATTTATTAATTATAAGAGCTTTTTCTAACATTTTTGGTTTTTTTATGAACTTTTTTCCACTATTTAAAGTCTAACCACCTATGTACATTTATTTTTATAGAATCTGTCAGGAATTGCAAGTAATTATTAATTATTTAGAGATTTATTTATTGCAATATTTGCTAAAATCTATTATCTAAACATCCATTTTACATATTTAACACTTTTTTTTGCTATCAAACACCTTCTAAATAGTTTATTTCCACTTTTACCGTATGTCTACATGTCTACCATTTGTCCACTTTAAAAGTGGACATATAGTAAATCCAAATCTGGCAGGGTTTATTTGATTTATAGCATAAAGTAATTTGTCGTAGTCAATGAGTTCATAGCCAGTTGGTGTAGCCTTTCTTGGTGGCATGATTGCTAAAAAATTGAAATTAATTCATATAACCACTTCATCAGTTTATACAAAATCACTAAATGTCGAAACGGAACGTCAATGCAGTGCCCCACTTCTGTTTACAGAAAATGGCCCACTTCTGTCCACAAGCATAATTTGACGAGAAATAACGTTGCCATAACACCTAGCGACAATATGAAATAGTCTCTTTAAATTTTGTAAGGTTAGGTCTGCTACTATAATCCTATAATAAAGGCTACTTACACGATTCAATTCGATGAATAACTTATGTAACCCAGGCGGAAAAGTGGGACGAACGTCGGAGTTTACAACCGGCTGGGATCCGCGCCCGTACAGACCGCCAGTACCGACGGTCTGTACCGATTCGGATCTGAAAAAGCAACCGGCGCGGTACAGATTATGCTCCGACTGTCGGAACCGTCTTCCCACTATTGTCAGTACTGGCTCGGTACTGGATTTCTTCCGCCGGCTGATCTTATTCTTCTGCGGCGTCGGAAGAATGACAGATATGTTGAGTCTGTACTAGCTCGGTACTGGGGCGGATCCGACTGCGGATCTCGTCATTTATTGTCACATTATAAATTAAATAATTATTACAAGTAATTGCATTATTTTAGAAAATAATTATTAATAAATGAATCTAATCAATATATTAAGTAATTATTTATTGAGACTTTTTTAAAAATTAAATAATTAGAAAAATTCGTTATTAATTAATATTATATATTATTAATTAATAATATCTCAATAATAATTGAATAATTGTTTCTCAATATAATAATAATGAAGGTAATGATATTAATAATTTTAATTAATATCTCAATAATAATAAATTTATGGTTATTGATATATTATTAATTAATATTAATATTGATAATTTATTATTAATTCTCAATAATATTAATGTTAATTAATAATATATAAAATTAATTAATAATATCTTAATAATAATAAATTTATTATTATTGAGATATTAATTAAAATTATTAATATTATTACGTTCAATATTATTATATTGAAAAACAATTATTCAATATATCCCGAGTCGAACTTTTAGACCTGCTTACCTCCTTAAAACTGAGGGTTTGTAAGGATGTAATAGGATGAAAGCAGAGTTTATTTGCATTGCAAGTTAACTCTGATTACCTCCTGCAAACCCCTGGTTAGCGACAAATTTAGATGGTAAAAGGGGGAAAGCAGGTGTTCCTAGAACCTTATTAAATACTGCTTGACCCTTACTTACAGAATTCTTTCCTCTCCAAAAACCCTGGAAAAACTGCTCATAAAAAAATATGCTCATAGCATATTTGAGAATTATTTCAATTCTTTTGACGAATATATTAAAAAATTGTATTGAGCTAGTAATTTAATTCTTATATAGAATTTTTTTTAAATATTTAGAGAATAATTAAATTGTTTTTCAAAAATTTTAAATTCTTGTTGAAACTAAATTTTATGGGAATTTTTGAAAATAATTAAATTCTTTCGTTTAATTTTATTTTAATTGGGTTAATAATTATTTAATTCTTGCAAAGATTTTTAGTATTTATAAAAATAGTTGAATTATTTTGAAGAATTTATTAAAGTTTAGGAAAATAATTGCAATTTATGAAAATATTTAAAAAATATTTAAATTCATCTAAGGAATTCAATTAAAATTGTTTTGAAAATAATTGAATTCCTGCAAAGAATTTTACTATTTATAAAATTAATTGAATTCTTCGGAAGAATTTTACTATTTATAAAAATAATTGAATTTTTTCAAAGGATTTATTAAAATTTTAGAAAATAATTGAATTCTTTCGTGAAATTTTCAAAATAAAAAATTTTGTAATTTGCAAAACAATAATAAGTTGAATATCTTGTACCGCGCGTAACATTTCCTATTGCGTAAGAATGTGGTAGAAGCAATACAGGGTTTAAGGTTCAATTAGGACTTAAAAAGGAGTTGTCAGAGTTAAATAGAACTTACGCAGGAGGAAAAAAACACCAAGGGTTTGTTAGGTGCAGGTTAGGGTTAAATTATACTTACCAGGAGGTAAGCAGGTCTAAAAGTTCGACTCGGGATGTATTATATGATAATAAAAATATAACAAGTTTCTTTTTTAACGAAATATTGAAATAGTCCTAAATATACATTCAATAGAGTATTGAAAATATAGCGGTATCATTGACGCGTAGTAATTCTACAAGTTTTATTTCAGCTTGTGACACTTGAGAGTATTTAAGATTTGAGAGTCCCATGCGAGCGTAGCATAGTGGTTAGCGTGCGTGAATTCGGTGCGTAAATATTCGGTTAGGCGTAGGTTCGTACCCCCAAGCGTTAGGATTTTTCAAATGTCTATGTAATAAAAAATTGCGTTTAAGTGTATAAAAAAATAAAAATAATGTGTAAAGTGAACTGTCAATGAATTGTCATTAGTATTTATCTTTTGCAATTAATTATTATTTTTTTATTGATATTTGTTAAAATTATCATTTGGATCCGACCCGGTTGTCAGTCGGTAGAATGCCAGCGCTCAGCTGGCTATTAAATGAAAAATCCGCGGTCGGTAGAGTGCCAGATCCCAGCCGGTTGAATTATACAGGGAACGGCTTCTCCCGGCCGGTCAGCGGGCGGTAGAATGCCAGTTCCGAGCCGGTTGCCAGCGCGCTCCTGGCCTAGTCACTATTCGGTAGAATGCCCGTTCACATTCGGTTGGCAGGCGGTTCCGAGCCAGTACAGTTACACTGGCGTCAGTACGGGCTAGGATCCGCGCCGGTTGGAAATTTCCGCCTGGGAAACCACGATAAATGACCAACTGAAAATCGACCTTCTGTTGATAACGAAAGAAAAAAAATTTCGGTAGACAGATATGTCACTTGTAAAACTAAAACGGCGGTTGGCCCACTTGTGTCAATGCTACACTGAAAAACTGTTGGTAGAGCTGTTCGCCCAATGCGGTGAACTGCTGCGTTAAAAAGAAACGCACAGCTCACTTTATTTTTGGGCGAGTTACTCTCCTTTTTGGGCGAGCAACTCTCCTTTTTGATAGAGCTGCTGACCTTTTTGTCAAGCAGCCGCTCGCCAACGCCATTGGTAGTCAAGTTTAGGAGAGCAACTTGCCTAATTTTGATAGAGCTGTGAGTTTAAAGTTAAGTAGTGCTGCACAACAGTCAATAGCGGAACTGCTCTACCAACAGTTTTTCAGTGTACTCTACTTTTTTATTTAGGTTCATTTAAAAAATATAAGAATGTAGGTATAACTACTTATTTTAAATAGGCTGTGAAATTAAACTAAGCACTTATACTTACATTCGTATATTAATCAAATGAACCTAAATAAAACAAGTAAATGTGAAAAAAAAATTTTTGGTGGAGAGGAACAAAAGGTAACAATTTATTAATTAATAATTGTTTATAACAATTTAAATTAGTTTTTTTAAACAAGAAGAACATATATTCTTTAAAAGAAACTTAAATAATGGATCCAATATGGCGGTCATGATTTTGATAAATTCATTGGATTTGCTTAAAATTTGTTACTCGAGGATTTCTGTGGTCGCTGATTACGAATCTGTTATTAGTTTTTCAAAATTTAAAATGGCAGATTCAATATAGCAACTAATTTTCAAAAATTCATTAGATTGGCCTGAAAATTGCTAATCTAGAATTTTCGGGGTCGCTGATTGCTAATCCGATGTTAGGTTTTCAAAATTCGACAAAGAGGATCTAATATGGCAGACGATTATATTATTAAAAATGATGTATTTTGAAAATCTGACTTCAGAATCGTGATCAGCGACCCAAAAACCCCCGAGTAAGAATTTTTGCGAATATACGTTAAAATTTTTTCTTGTTCGGGCCATGACGAGTATACACGTCATCCACAGTCAAAGGGTTAAGAGGAATCAAAGTTAACTATTTGTTAATTAATATTGTTTATAACAATTTAAATAAGATAACTTTTAAACAAAAAAGACATATAGGGGAGAGTAGGCTACATTGAACCAGCATCAACAGTGAACCACTTCAATTTTCTGAGAAATGACTGAGTGAAATTATTTCTTATTTAATATATAAGGGTGATTCTCCGCGTAGCGCACGATTTGGTTTATGAAATTTAAAAAATTTTTTTTTATCGTTATGATTAATATCAATATATTTTTTTGAAGATAAAGGTTTTAGAAAGAAAAATCCATAGCGGGCCGGAAAAATTATTTATAATTTTGGTTGTAAACAAGTGTAGTAATTAACTAATTCACTGTTTGGACACATTCTGTCAAAAAAAAATTTTGCGGTAATTTAAACAATATTATATCATAAATCTCATTTAAAAATTATTATTTCGGTAATTTATGGAAATTTATGGAAATTTTTGCGATAATTCATAAAAATATGTAAAATTTAAATTATTATTAAAAATTTGAATTTTGGTAATTTATGGAAATTTTTGGAAATTTATGGAAATTTTTGCGATAATTCATAAAAATATGTAAAATTTAAATTATTATTAAAAATTTGGATTTTGGTAATTTATGGAAATTTATGGCAATTTGTAAGGTAATTTAAAGAAATTTTGTCGGTAATTTTTAAAAATATTCAAAGTAGAAATCACAGTTTAAAATTTTTATTTCGGTAATTTATGGAAATTTTTGCGGTAATTTATAAAAATTTTCGTGGTAATTTATGGAAATTTATTTAATTAATTTATGGTAAATTTTTCTGAGCAATAGGTTTCTTTTATTCCTTATATATGTGGCACCATAACACTACATTTGCACTAGGTTCATCGTAATACAAAGGTCGGTGGAAATTCTGATGCCGGTGGAGACTAAGGTCGGTGGAAACTTTTTTCAATCGCCTTCAGTTATTTTTATTTTTTTAAAAAAAATACTAGTCACTAACATTGCGTGCTACGCACGCCCCTTTCTTTCTGCTATTCAAAATGGAAATGTTTTAACACCGAAAAGTTTATAATATTACTCTAAAGATACACACATAGTTATTAAAAACATTTTATCTTTAAAGGATTAAATTTTGTTTTAAATTTTGTATACCTATTCCCTTTTTGAATAATATGTTCTGGTAATATAATATCATCATCTGCATCATTTAATGATTTTTGGTGTAGCAAATGACCTTTAAAATAAGCGTAAGCGCTTGCACGCGGATAGTGCCAGGGGAGTTAAATAAAGAGAGTTAAAATTTCGCACCCAAATGCTAACTCCCTAAGGAAAAAATAACTCGCGCGGGTGTTAAATGAAGGGAGTTAGAAATTAACTCTCTTTTGGAGTTGATTTTTAACTCGAAAAATTTCACTCCCGAGTCCGTTAACTCCCTAAATTTTTTACAGTGTAAAACCATAATATATGTCATCGAAATGATCGTTCAACTCAATGTTTTATATTTTAATTAAGACGGCCCCCTAGTAAAAATGTGTATTAACACGTGTATTACATATGTATTTATATGTTCAAATTCACACATGTAATTATACTTGATTATTGTTATTAGGGCCGAGTGATGAATTAAAATATTAATTATAAAAATCGTCTTATTCATTCTTTCATTCTGTCCACACCTGAAGTTAATTTTTGTATATTCTTCTGTTTTTTTTCTTAAAAAATTTTTTTTTGACGGATTGAAAATATACAGGTATTTTTTTCATGATTCAAAATATTACCGAGTAGTATTACTGTAACGTATATTTAATATTACAAGCAAGTTGAGCGTATATTTCAATAAATGATCTAAAATAGAAGGAAACAAACATTTTTATTAAAATTTTAAATTCTCTTTTCAAACTCCTATAATTTTTTTTTGCTTATTTTGAAGATTCAAAAAGGTTTAAAGGTAAAAAGTAAAAATTTTTTAAAAATAATTTATTGATAACAAATACAATATAAACTTTACATGAATGAAACAAATTTAGAAAAAACATTTTTTACAACGCTGGTTTGTATATATTCTATTGGTCGTCCGAAAACTTCTTGTAATTTTAATAAAAACTTTAAACTCTACACTGAGAAAAAAGAGGGCGCGTTGCAGCACATTTTCGATTCATGTTGCGCGACTCAACCCTGTGTTCTGCTAGACACTTTTCTGGGGCGTGCAGCGGACCCCTGAGTCGAGGCGAGCTGTATTTGAAGCGTATTACACGCTCTTTAGGGCGTGCTGCACGCCCCAGAAAAGTGTCTAGCAGAACACAGGGTTGAGTCGCGCAACATGAATCGAAAATGTGCTGTAACGCGCCCTCTTTTTTCTCAGTGTAGTAAATCGTCGTTCTACAAGCAAATATTAAAAAATCGCTGCCACGTTGTATACTTATTTTTGTAATGTCCTTTTCGCTCATTTCGTGAACTCTTTGCTTCCTCCTCATAAAGATAATAATTATTTAAATATAAAATAATTCGTACCACGAATGTATATGACAAAAAAGGAAAATCACTGTGATAAATGAAGTACGAATATCAATTCGTTTATCAATTTTTTAAAGTTTATAAATTTGGCTGAAAATACTCATTCGGAGGGTTTTGAGGTCTCTATATCAAACTCTTTAGTCAAAATTCAAAAATTCAAAATGTCGACTCCAAAATGGCAAACAAATTCAAGAAATTGTAGAAAGACTTTACGAATCGAGATAAAAATACTTTTATTTTAGGTAACCTAGGAGGCCTATAATTCCAAAAATTTTCTGGTTCTAAGATTAAATGTATGCTATTTTAAGTAAAATTGTTAATTTCAAATTAGTATAAATTCGACTAAATTTAACATATTTGAAATTTTAAGTAGTAATGTTGAAATCATTTAATTTTTTTAAGGGGGTATTCTGGTCTAGAGGCCTCAATTTTAAGGCGTTTTTCCGAATAGGATAAAAAAGAAAGTTTAACATTTTTAATATTTACTTTTTTTGCAAATTGTTTACTAATGTTTAAAGAATACAGAAAAAAAATTAGAAAAAGAATAATAAAAAATCTTAAAAGTTATAAACTTTTGAAGTGGGAACTGAAAAAAATTCTGGTTGACACGATAACTCAGAATCTACTCAACCGATTTACTTCAAATTTTACAAAAATGTTCTTTGTATATCCCTTTATGGTCGCAACCTCGGATTTTGAAAAATATTTTTGTTCACTATTTTTAAAAAATTCAAAAGTGTTAAAAAACAGTGTCAAAAAACACAACTTTTTTAAAAAATCGTCGCCATTTTGCTAAAAAAAATTTTTTTCTTTTCTCCGAGGTACCGACCATAGCGAAGCCTTTAATAATCAAGAATTTCTTTAGATTTTTTGTTTTGGAGCATTACAAAACTCTCCACACTGTCAACCAGTTCGCACTTGATTTTTTTCAGTCCCCACTTCATCAGTTTATAACTTTTAAAATTTTTTATTATTATTTTTCCTAATTTTTTTCTGTATTCTCTAAACATTAATAAATAATTTCCAAAAAAAGTAAATACTAAAAATGTTAAAGTTTCTTTTTTATCCCACTCGAAAAAACGCCTAAAATTGAGGCCTCTAGACCAGAATACCCCCTTAATGAAATATGTGAATAAAAAAAGCCAAGAAATAAATTTACATTATATATTTTTGACACTCTCATATTCTCGTTCAAACATTAGAAGCTGGTACTTTAATAAATAAAAATATTAAAAATTCATATTTTTTTAGTTTGTTTAGTATAACAAACTAAACTTAATTAAAATGACTCGAGAATTTCAGTATAAACATAATTTTTTATATACATATTACTTCTATTATCTCCCAAATATATTTTTATGGAATCAAATGAACGTACCCTTGATAATGCAACATACATCTGACCGTGATTAAAGACATCTCTTCTTAAATCAATAAATATTCTGTTAAATGTTTGTCCTTGAGATTTGTTAATAGTCATTGCGAAAGCCAATTTTATAGGAAATTGTCTTCTTTTAAAAGTAAACGGATATAAATTTTCACAATATAAAGTTACTCTATGTAAAAAGACAATATTTCCACTCTTATCTCCCGTTAATATTTGACATTTAATAACATTATGTGATAAGTCTAAAACAAGCAACCTTGTTCCATTACACAATCCCTCATTAATACTAAGATTTCTAATAAGCATTACAACAGAATTAATTCTTAAATGCAATTCATGAGGTGGCAAAGAAGGTGGAGAGAGAGTGTTTAAATATTCTGGTAAGAATACATCAGTAAATTTTCCATTATCACAATTTTCAGTAGAATCAATACTTTTATATATTTTTTCACCTTTACTGTCTAAGAGACGCACCACTCTCTTATTGATATCATCAACGTCAACGTTTCTAGGTGCTAAAATAGCACACTCCGACATCTCCTCAAATTTATTTTGTTGTATAAACTGACTATACATTTCTTCAGCAATATCTACATTCCCTTCTTGAATAATATGTTCTGGTAATATAACATTATCATCTGCATCATTTAATTCACCATTGCCAATTTTAAGTAAAAAATCTACAAATTCCGTTTCTTGTGGTAAAGCTCTCATATTATCTGTTAATGAATATTTTTTGAAATATTTCCATAGTTTACTATTTTTTATTGATAAATTTACTATTTCTGATCTAGTGCCCCGTTCTTTAATTGGTAAAGTTTGTCGAAAATCTCCTCCTAGAATAACAATTTTACCACCAAAAGGTTCGTTGGAATTCATTATATCTCTTAATAGATAATCCATAATTTCTAAAGCATATTTTGGAGCCATTGGTGCTTCATCCCAAATAAAAACATCCATATTTTTTAAATAGAGGCCTTCTTTAGATTGAACTTTAATGTTTGAAGATGAATCACTGTATAATGGAACGGGTAAGCCTAAAACTTTATGAACAGTTTTTCCATTAGGAAGCAGAGTCGTAGCTATACCTGTAAATGCCATGTTGCAAACATTTATTCCGTTACTTCTTAACAAATGCCATAGCGTAATGTATAAAAATGTTTTTCCAGATCCTCCACAACCATCAACATATAAGCACTTAGAACCATCAAAAGAAGAATCCTTTAGGGCATCAAGTACATAATCAACTACAAGTTTTTGTTTTACATTTAATTTAGCATAATTCTGTTCTCCTATGTTAATATGTTCTGAAATACTTATATCATTAACTTGTTGAGTATGAATTTCATCTTGTATATCTAATAATCCCTGAAAGTCAGTTAAATTATATCCTTCGTTAAATAACATTGTTTTAATATTTCTATAAGCCCTTTGAGGCATCATCCATAATGCAGCTTCTTCCATTGTCCTAATCCACTCACTATCATCTTCTACAAGTCCTAATGCCAAACAAGCAGTTGTAAAAGATTCATGATATCATGATTCATTTAAGAACAGTTAATGGAGTTCCATTAACTGTTCTTAAATTTTCAAAAGAAGTTGCTCCTTTTACGGTAAGCAACAATAATCTAAGGTGAAATAACTCCAATTGGTGTGGATTAACAGAATACATTCTGCCCAATACTTTTTCTTTACGAATTCTTTGTTTCCATTCAAGAGATTTTGTTATCCATGTATAATGCTCTGGTATTTCTGAATAATAATACTTTCGAGCATTACTATCTCGTTGATTGAGTTTAAAATAATCCAAAAATTTTGTATTTTTATTTAAATCGAAAGAAATGCCGTTACTATCTTTTTCTTGTCGAATAATAACATTCTGTTCATTTGGTAAATGTATGGGTAAGCGATTAACGCTATGACTTTTTTTCCCTAAAGGTTTACTTAGAATTCTCCAAACTGCCTCAACTTGACCAACATATCTATTTTCTTCATAATGATGTATTTCATTATGATTAACAGTTACCTCACCATTCGCATTTGTGATAACAATAAATGCAGCATCATGCCCTTTGAGAATATATTTATATAAATATTTAACAGACTTGATACTTGAAACTATTTCTACATTAATATGGCAATTAAATATTTCTGAAAGTTTAGGGCAATACGGAACAACATTAGAATTATCAACGATAAATCCATTTGGTCGTTCATACGCTTTCTTATTATTTCTTCGACGACAATGAACATAGCAATTTTCTTCAATTGTAGTTTCTTCTTGGTAACTTTTTGGAAATTTTTTTGATCATTTTCCATTAATTAAACACCAATCTCCACAAGGTCCATGAATATTATTTTGCATTATTATTTTATGTAAAATAGGATTGATATTTTCATCAGGAATTTCTGCAGAAATATAACGATCAACACTTTCAACTGTTAATATTTTAGAATTTTCTTTCAATATAACTAACAAATGAATGTGTGGCAATCCTCGCTTTTGAAATTCAATAACATAAACATAAGATTTGACCTCTCCAAATAATTTATTATCAACAATAATTTTAAGTAGATGTTTTACTTTTAATGCGAAAACCCTAGTTACTATATCAGGTCTATCAGCAGCAGTTTGATAGGGGAATAAATTTTCCTGTATCTCTTTCCAATTTGGGTTACACGTCATTGTAATAAATAAATCTGGTCTACCATGACGCGCAACAATAGCCATCGAATCCTGATATTGTTGCACCATATTGCGAGGTGATCCTATAAAAGTAGAAGGCAATATAAGCGTTTTTCCAACGTGTACATCATTTTCCAACTCATGATTGTGTAAATAATCCATCAGTCCTTTATATGTTTCACTTCTCAATTGAGCTTGATTATTTGCACAAAATCTTAATCTATCTTTTTCTACTTTTACATAGTTGTCAACCACCCATTGTTGAAACAATCTACCTCCATATAAAAATTGATTAAATTCTTTATCTCTTACAGCAAATGTATTTAATGTAGGCAGACCTAGAAACAGTATGATTTCTACTTCTGTAATCACTATCACTACGAATCATATTAATATTATAACCCTTATTTCCAAGTGGATTAAATATGGGATAAATCCATGGTTCAACATTTGGATCTAAATTACTAACTAATTTCAATTCCTTTGTAGATTTATTATAAACCGTTACATAAGATTCTGGTATTTCTCCTTCAGAGTTTGTATTAAAAATTGCAGCAACTTCATTAAAACTTTGAAAATTGTATCTATTTTTATCAAAGCCTTTTTTCAACGTGAACAATAATTGTAACTCAGGAATTTCTTCATTTTTTTGTCTTGCTAATTCAGCTTCTATTTGAATTACCTCTGACATCATCATGTAAGATTTTGTGTATGCATTAGAATTTCTCATAATATTTTCTATAGATGTTAAAACATCTTCATCCAAATTTTCGTTACTTTTTAATCTGTATCTGATTGATTCGTCAGGGTCATAAATAAATAATTGACCAAAACATGGATCCTCACTTTTATCCGGATATAAAGCACTATTAATTTGATAGTAAATTTGACCTTGAATATTATAACCAAATGGTCCTCTTCTTCTGCCATTAAAATTAATTACATTAGCATTTAAAGATGCAAAAGAAAAAGAATTATTATACAGTCTTATATTCTTTTTAAAGTGACCTGATTTTTGATGAAACCCTTCTAACAAAAGCCTTAATTCATCTGGATATTGTATTGAAGTTATCACAACACCTCCATGACTACAGCAGTCATTAAAACTAACTTTTTTACCAGCAACTTTTTCATCTTTAAAATGTTTAGCTTGACAATGTGTGCAGTAATTATTCATTGGACCTAGATAATTTTCAACATTTAACTCATTTTTCATTTGATGCTTTAATCGAGTATTCTTTGTTTTTAACAAAGAACTTGTATCACTATTTTCATTTTTTAATTTAAGGTTCTCAGTATATTCAATTTTGGATTCGACTTGAAGTTTTTTCTTAGTTGAAGTGTGCTTTTCACCTAAATAACTTACGTTATCAATTGTACGTTTTAATTTTTGCCTCTCACGATAATTTTTTTGTATTTCAGCCCTACTTTCTTTAAGTGTTTTTGATGCTATATTTCCTTCATTTATTTCATTTATTATTCTCGGAAAAGAAATGGATGTGTATGCTTCCTCTGAATAATTTTCATTGTCAATTTTACGTTTTAATTTTTGCCTCTCACGATAATTTTTTTGAATTTCAGCCCTACTTTGTTTAAGTGTTGTTGATGCAATATTTCCTTCATTTATTTTATTTATTTCTCTCAGAAAAGAAATGGAAGTGTGTGCCTTCTCTGAATAATTTGCATTATCAATTTTACGTTTTAATTTTTGCCTCTCACGATAACTTTTTTGAATTTCAGCCCTACTTTGTTTAAGTGTTGTTGATGCAATATTTCCTTCATTTATTTCATTTATTATGCTCGGGAAAGAAATTTCTTTCTTAATAGAGTTTTTAGAAAAGTTTGATTCTCCATACAGAAGTTGAATATCATTTTTATTTAAAAGGCAATTCCAGTCATACGCAACTATGCAAGATCTACTATTAGAAAGTTGTACAGAGGGAAATTTACATAAACTATTGTTTTCGAACATTAGCATTAAATGATTTCTCATATTACAATAATATTAATTGACAGAGTGGGGCATAATATTGAAAAACAACTATGTTGCGAATGCTATTGCATATACTCCACAAGAAAGACTGTATTCTGGTTGTTGATCAACAGTTGTGAAAACTACTGGTGGTTCAAAGGGATATAATCTAATTAAATAATCTCTTTGATCATGATTTAAATATTTTTTATTAAGGCTATCAAAAATGTAAAGGCTTATTCCATCATAATAAGTACAAATCCAATGACCAGATTTATAAGATCCACTAAAAAGTATTTGAATGTGCTGCTTACTTTTCTCGACTGGAACTATCAAATCAAGTGTTTGTAAACACAAAGTATTTTGCATATTATAAAAAAAATTTGATTGTCTTCCCAATAGCTTTTAAAATTCATACATATGATCATTATTTAGCATTGCTCCTTCAGTGACAACAATACTTAAATCATCAGTAGTCAAATTAACAGTTTCTCCTTTGTTAGACATTGTTCTTTTATTTTATAAAATTTACTTATATCAAGGAATTAAAAATTTAAAAATAGTAATATTACATTAGAATTTTAAGATCAAGTTTTATACATTTAATTAAAAATTTTATAATTTCCTTTTATTCAATGTTATTACCAAATTTTGCCTCTTATAGAAAATAAAAACAAATTTACAATTCTCTCCTTATTCAAAACTTTTAAATTTTTCCTTGTATCCAATATAGTCAATGTCCAATTTTGTCTTTCATCCAAAACTAATTTCCAATTTTGTCTCTTATCCAATATATAACCAATTTACTATTTTTCCTTTAATCCAATTTAACTAATTTCCAGCTTTCTTTTTATCCAATATAATTAATTTTCAATTTTGCTTTTTATCCAATATAACCAATTTCCAATTTTGCCTTTTATCCAATATAACCAATTTCCAGCTTTTTTATCCAATATAACCAATTTCCAATTTTGCTTTTTATCCAATATAACCAATTTCCAGCTTTTTTATCCAATATAACCAATTTCCAGCTTTTGTATCCAATATAACCAATTTCGAATTTTGCCTTTTATCCAATATAACCAATTTCCAATTTTGCTTTTTATCCAATATAACCAATTTCCAATTTTGCCTTTTATTCAATATAACCAATTTTCAATTTTGCCTTTTATCCAATATAACCAATTTCCAATTTTGCCTTTTATCCAATATAACCAATTTCCAGCTTTTGTATCCAATATAACCAATTTCCAATTTTGCCTTTTATCCAATATAACCAATTTCCAATTTTGCAATTTAACCAAATTAACCAATTTCCAGCTTTTGTATCCAATATAACCAATTTTCAATTTTGCCTTTAATCCAATATAACCAATTTCCAATTTTGCCTTTTATCCAATTATAGATGATTTATAAATTATAACAAATTTTTATAAACTTATTAATAAACATAAAAAATTAACTTTATTAAAACTAAACACAACTCAATTTAATTATTTAAATAAATAATGATTGAAAAAATTTACAAACAGTATGTTAATGTAATTCTATTATTAATTTACTATTCACTTATTCACTTATTATCACTAATTATATTCACTAATACTTACTATTCACTAATTCACGAATTATTCACACTTATAATTCACTTATTTATTTAACTTTATATTCACTCACATATAGTGAGTGGATTCACCAGGAATTATAAATTTTTTTTTTAAACTTAATTTTTTCGTTGAAGACACGTAGAACGTGCCCCAAGGAAAATAATCGACGATATGATTTTGAAATTAAATTTTCGTTCTT